GTGGGCTAGAACCAAACAGCATTCTGAAATGACTTTCTTTTTTCTGAAACAGTGAAGTGAAATAGAATCACGACCTAGTTTGAAGAGGTCTTGGATTTCAGTGTGGATACACCAAATTATATTAACTCTCTGGGTCACAGTTTTCTCATTTTTTCAATATGAGGTCTAGATTGGGTGACCTTCAAAGAACCTCCCAAAGCTAACGTCCTAGAAAAAGGAGTAGAGGTTTGACATTAGTTTTGTCGGGGAAATTGCCCATTTAGACAGAGTCCTCTGCGACCCACCCTTCTGCCAGCCGAGGGAGAGGTCCAATCGGGATCCCTTTGGTAGCAAAAATGCTTTTATGCATCCTTACCCTTTCTTATTCCTGGTTCTCATAAACTCAGAAGAGCAGCTTCCCTGGTTTGGGGAAAAGGCAGAAAAAGCCTCATATTTGCAAGTAGTTTTTTCTTGATTAGCAGAATAAAATGTATAACAAGTTTTGATATTATCTACCTGGAGATAGCAAAAAAAGAAAAAATAAGTTTTGAGCTTATGTTTTGACAGCTCTCCTAGTATTTTTTTTACCTCTGTACTTAGTAGAAATCCTGAAAACAAAGAGTTAACAATGAAAATATGTGCCCTTTACTCCTCATTTATAATCTCGTGCTTTGAGTTACGTTTGCAGTGTGGGACTTCCAGACCTGGCAAAAAATCACCATTTTTACAGCTGATTGCTAAGGGATGACAGAAGAGAATGTTTTTTTCTTCCTTCAAAGCCTCTGATGTATCTTTTTAAGATTATCAACCAATAAAGCAACAGGGGTTTACTGACTATCTACTTTGTGCTAGACTCTGTGGGCACATGAAGAAGCTCAAAGCTTCAAAGAGATTTTAGTCTGGTTGCAGGGAAAGGACAGAAAATTGAGCAATGCATATTTTAAGAACAATTTGAGAGAGTAGGAGAGAGGTGACTCAAGGCAATCTGAGATTTGATGTCATGTCAGTCGCACAGAATTCCAGGGGATGGCGGATGGCCTTTAGCAAATACCGCTGGATGGTCAGAGATTATCACAGACCGGGCACATTTGGGAATGCTTTGAGGAGCAGGTGTGTTTGACCTGGATCTACAAGGCTGAGGGAGGTAGACAGAGAAGATATATTTGGCACATAATTGGCGCTGTGATAGTTAGCAAGGTCTGGGACAATAACACATGTCGGGAGCAGATGACAGGGTGAGAGTCTAACCGCAGCCATTTAATTTTGACTCCTTCCCTGGCTGGCCATGTCCAGCTATTGCAATAACAAGGATGCGAAGAGGATCCTGTCACGGGTAAGTTCTTCGTGGTGGGGGTGGGGCCACAGGTGCCTGCACCTTGAGTGGATCTTTGAGTTCACGGTCTGGTCTCAGCTGTAAATTGGCTGTGATCAGTTCGGCCAAGCATGATCAGAATCCGAGGGGTCATAACCAGAAGGCTTCCTGTGTTAATTAATTTCTAAGAAGCTTCAGCTGATGTTGATGTTGCGGATCCACAAACCGCAGTTTGAGTGGCAAGCTTCTAGAGCAGTGATTCTCCAAGTGCGGACAGAGAGCAAGCATCACTTGGGAACATGTTAGAAACATAAATTTCGGGTACCCACACACATCTACTGAATCAGAAACTCTGGAGGGTGGGGCCAGCAACCTGAGTTTAACAAGCCCTCCAGGCGGTGCTGGTGCACAGTGCGGGTGGAGAACCACTGCTCCAGAGGAGACTTCTGTCAGTTGGTTGCATCCTCTCAATTTTGGACTCAGCACCTCCCTAGTTATTTCTGTATGAGGCGCCACTACTTTCCCTGTCCTTGCTTGTACCTGGGCCTGCTGCCTTCTCTCCCCTGGGCAGCTCCTGTGGGAGTAGGCTAGTCACATTTTGCCTCTGTTTCAAGTGCCTGCTAGACTGTGGTTGCTTGTTCAAGGACTCTGGTGGTTGCCCCTGTATAGACGTATTCTTGTCCTTTGTGCTTCCCATCAGCATGTGAAATCCAACCTCACTTCAAAGAGACATAAGTGAGTAACAGTAGCAATTTAATAGGCACTGACATTAAGATAAAGGTAAAATTTGTGTATGTTTCTTAGAGGCTTACGGGAATGCAAGCATTAGGCAATACTGTGCTTATAATTGATTTTCAGTGATATTTATGCCAAAAAGCTGGGCTTTGTCTGTTATTTTTGATCTGCTGATCTCTGTGAGACTCTGGCCATTAGTCCCCTTTCTCCCGAGAAAAAGGCACATAAACACATATACACATTTTTGCATGCTTCATGGGGTTGGTTCCAAGTAACAAGTAGCTGACGGGGGCTAACATAAAAATGGAAATTTATTTCCTGGATGTCAGGGCGTCTCTTACAAGATCAGTTGGTTATGATAGTGCATCTGTGCCTCACCGTGGGTGAGAAGTAGAAGGCTTTTGGAACCCATTAGTGAGTGGTATGCCAGTAAATGCTTAATACCCATCTTGCTGGGCGGGGGGGCAGCCCTGATCTGTGGCCTTTTTCAGTTTCTGTAACATAAATATTCCCACCGTGATGAATTTCAAGCTACCAATGGTTTAACAACTGGTTCAAAATTCCTGTAGTTTAACCATCTACTCTCGAAGCTGGCACCAGCCGGCTCCAGCAGATCACTGCCTTCTTTCAGCGTTTTGTGCCTCTTCTCCCGTTTGCGCAGCTGCTTTATTCTTCTCTTTTTCTGACTTGTGCTGTTCCCATTTATGTTTAACATTGGCCCTAAAACCTAATCAATCTCAATACTTCAGAATGTCTTATAATTCTGGACACCTTCCATCTGACCCTCAGTATGTTAAAAAGCACAAAAGTCCTTAAAAAGAGGCCAGCATGAAAATTTGGAAAGATCTGTAGTTTGTCTTTAGATTGTTGGTGAATGTGACTCTCAGGTGATTTGAAAGGAGGCCCAGTCACTGTCTGCGGGAGGGGAGAACCTGTGTCATGAGTTATTCCCTGAATGCTATTGTAAGACAAGCTTTGCAAATGTTATTTCATTTCACTCTCACACAACCCAGTGAAGTAGGTCTCTCTACTTCCATTCAGCAGGTGAGGAAACTGGAGCGTAGGGAAGGTAAAGGGCAGGGCCTGCTGACTGCTCCTCTCTGAATGAGAGCACACTTTACGCCTCTACTCTCAGTGAGCTTAGACACCAGGAGATGGAGATTGGTCGGAAGGTTTCATGCGCTCTTCCCCCAAATCGAGGCTGCACTTTACATTCACAGCCACTTATCGCTTGTCTTGCTCCATTTGGGCCACGACAACGAAAACACCGTGGTCTGGGCGCTCGAACAACAAGCACTTATTTCTCACTGTCCTGGAGACAAGGAAATCCAAGCTCAAGGCGCTGGCAGACCCACTGTCTAGGGAGGGCCTGCTTGCTGGTCTGCAGGTGGCCGTTGTCTTTTTGTAGCGTCACATGGCGGAGAACAGAGAGAGAAGACAAGCTCACATGTCCTTCTTAGGAGGGCACTAATCCCAGCCTGAGGGCCTCACCCCAACTCTAAATATCATCACATTGGGGATTAGGCTTCAACATATGAATTTTGGGGGACAAAACCATTCAGTCCATAGCATCACCTTCCTCCTTCTAGCCTCTGGCTGGGAATCCTCTGATGCCTGAAAGATCAGGAACCCAGAGGGGCCTTGCTGACTCGTTGACTGTGGGGAGGAGGGAAGATTATCTGCAGCTGAGTCCAATAAGAACACCAGGCTCATCCCTCTAAGCGCATGGGTATTGACTATTTTTATCACTTTTCCCCAAACAATGATTACATATCCGTGGTAAATCTAGTTTTAACTTAGTTTTACCTTACTGGGGTACAGAGGAACAGAGGTCCCCCTGATCTGTGGAGGCACAGATACCGGAAAGGTAAGCAGAGTTCCTAAACAAAGGGCTTTAAGCAAGGGAGGTGCAGATGTGACTCGTCTTCCTCAGCGAGATGTGTTAGCCTTCCAGGATTGGGCAGAGTGTGCTTGAGGTGCCTGTGAGAAGGTCATGGCTCCAAATAAAGATTTTCCCATGAAACTAGGAACTGAATCCAGGAGTGTCTAACTCCCAGACCCAAAACAATGTGCACAAAGTGCACACTTTGGAAGGATTTGAATTGCACTGAAGGTAGATGTCAGAGCGAGACTCTAACCTTGACCTATTTAATTTCTTCCCTTTCCTTGTCCTGGTCCTGCTCATGCTGAGGTGTAGCAGCCAAAGTGAAATTAGGCAGGGGGACAAGAAAGTGCTGTTCTCATCTGGAATCACGTGGATCTGTCTCATCTTGGAAGTGAGACATTGGGAATGGCGTGAAAATAACCCTTGGGCTGTCGTGTGACTTGTGGCCCTGGATCACCATAGGCCTGGTCTCTCTGGCATCTCTTCTGTCCCCAGTGACATGGGATTGATCTGCATCTCTCAGTCACAGGTGGCAAGTGTGTAGCGCCAGTGGTATTCATGGCCCTCGTGCTGTGGAGCAGGTGGTCCTGTCCTCAAACCGTGGCTGGGAGACCAGGTGGGAATGGTTAGATGGGAGGAAGGAATGTCTCTGACCCGCGGTCCAGGCACGAGTGATGGGAAGGGGAAGTCAGAACTGTGTCTGGATGAGGCCGCAGGTCCTGCTGCGGACTCCGTGCACGTCGGCCACTGCATTCAATGTGGGAGGGCAAGTGCGAGTACTGGGGCCTCGCTGTGGAATGCAAACAGGCAGAACATCAGGAGAGTGTGTTAGAGACTGAAAAAGAAATCATAAGCTCCAAAAATGGGGCTATTGCACCTGGCTAGGTGTTCACGTGCTCCTAGCACATGTTTACATGGACAAGTTGAGGCCCTACAAAGGCCCTGGGAACAGGGTTCTGCCTGGAATATGTGTGAGGCATTGTGACCAGGGGGCCACCAGCGGTCTGTGGAAAGGAGCAGGGAGGCCCTGCAGAGTGCACAGCTCTGGGCTGCGAGAGCCACTCCCAGCGCACTTGTTTGCTCCAGATCCTCAAGATGAGTGCTTGCTTCTGCCACTCCTCTTTGGAGAGGGTGACATTGACCAATGGAAAAGTCTACTTAATTCAATCTTCTAATGGGTTTATTCTTTCATTGCTCTCATAAGGTCTTAGGGTTCAGCTTTGTAAATCACTGCCTTGTACCCAAGTCTTCCTAAATAAGCTTAAAATGAGAAACATCAAATGAATTGATATATGATTATCTGACTATGAAAATAAGCCTGTTACAAAAATCAGTCCATAGCATATTATTGTATTATCTTTTCTTCTCTCTGGCGGCCCAGTGAAATCCCTTTAGGAAGCATCAAATTGGGTAGATTTTAATAGTTATACCACCATCTTAGTAGCTCCATTGCCCCTGTTCTGAGACTCTTGTGTTCCTGCCACTGGAATTATAATTTGAACGAACAGATGAATAAGTGGAAATTTACTGAGTACACATCATGCTCCATCCTCTTTCTTAGCAACTTGAGAGGGAGGTAATATTGTTTTCACTTTACAGATGAGAAAATCACAGTTTGGAAAGGTCACATTACTTATGATCATACAGCCAGTGAGTGCCGGAACCAGATCTAGACGCTAGCTCCATTTATCTCTGAATCATGTGTTTCTCTGCCACAGTGTTCTACCTCCTGAAATTTACTGACCACTTTTCTGGTCCCAGCACTAGTGCTGTGTATTTTCATGGTCATTACCTCATAAACCCATCCTTATAGCAGACCTAATGATGTGGGTACTCATTTTATAGATAGCATAAAACTGAAGCCAAATATATTACGTAACCTGCCCAAGGTCAGACAGAGGGCAAGATCTGTGCTCTCTTTAAAGAGTCTATTGATTGGAAGGGCCAGGGAGAGATGGAATGTCTCACTTCAGAAAGAATATGTATTCTTTTTATAACTGAAGCTGAAAGCCACACCAATGGACGTAGGCTGGTTAGGTAGGAGGAGAAATACGTAGAGAAAGGATTGATCGTGTCCTAACCAGCTGCCCATTCCTAATGAGATCTCTGAGCAAATTATGTGGACAGAGAGGACAATGGCTGGCAATTGAACACTTTTATTACTAAGCAAAATATCTGGTGTCGATTAATAGAGATCAAGGCTGGACGGGGCAGAGACTTCCTTTTGCCCAGGCTAGAGTCAGGAAGGAGCACAAGTCACAGAGAGGTGGTCTTGCTAAGGCTAGAGCTGAGCTTGCCAGCGCCGTGGGAGACACAGTCAGAAAAGATAGAGAGAGGTGGCTGAACTTCCTCTCAAGAGGGAGAAGCCACTGGGTTCCTGACTGTCTGTGTGGAAGGGGAATGTCCAGAGACAGAAAACAGCCCGGTGATTTTTAACTGTCCATGTGGGAGCAGTATCATGAGTTATAGCGCTGTTACTTGGTCTGCATGTTAGTCTGCGTATTTAACATGTTTACACCTGCTGGGGTGTTTCATAACTCAGCCTTGTCCCAGTCTTCGATTGCTGTGGTAGTAAACATGTAGCATGAAATGACAGAGGTATGCTTCTGGTTCCTTTACTTCAGGCTTGGTTTAGAAAGAGGGGAAACAGCAAAAGAAGCCTTAGATGTCATCGTCTCCTTGTTGGAAGAACATGGACAAGGTGGGAATTACTATGAAGATGCAAGCTCCTGCCACAGCTTCCAAAGTGCATATCTGATTGTGGATCGCGATGAAGCCTGGGTGCTCGAGACCATAGGGAAGTACTGGGCTGCCGAGAAAGTCACAGGTGAGTGGATGTGGACGGTGAAGAGTTTTCAGGACAGAAAGGCTAAGATGGGCCTAGACATGCAGCGTCAGACCGAGAGGAACTGTGCTGCTGCTCCAGACCTGCTCTGTGCGGGATCTTCGTGCCTCTCATTTCTGGGCATCTGCATCCAGGGAGGAGCCTGGGATCTCCTGAACCTGGAGTGAAGGGATAACAACACTTGGGAAGCACATTCCTAACATTTCAGATTTTCTCTTTGCTTTCTGGGCAGTGCCCCATTTTGACTACCAGCAGTTCCACGACTAAACCCGCTACTCTGTTAACGGGCCAAAGGACTGGTGATTCTTCTTTCATAACAGGGCAACAAATCCCTTCACTGAGGGGCTCCCTCTTGTCGTCACCCACAACCCTGTAGGTCTTTGTGCTTGGAGTGGTCTCCTAGAATAGGAGCTTGGATCTGTGTGAGGACCATCGAATGCCAGTCTGGGCCCACGAGGCCATTTCTCTGTGAGACAATGTTCCTGGAAGAGCAGAGGATTAAGTGATCCACCCAGCGGGATTTAGTGCCCATAAAACTGCTGCTCTGTGGCCCTGCAGCATCATGCTTCTAAGACAGCGCTGGAAGGAAATGCTAGGGGTGGGAGTCTTACATCATCAGAATGGGAATCCCAGAGTGGGTTAAAGGGCTTCCAAGAGGACTATGTAGTTCTAAGAGAGAATCAGCCAGTGGAGCTCCTATTGCATTCCTTGGGACTGGATGATAAACACATGATGTGTGTGCCTCACTCTCCCCTCCTGTGCCCATGGCAGACATGGCTAGTAGATCACAGCACTCTTCTCTTGTTGAACCTATACTTGGCCTATGTATTTTTCTTAACCGAATTTCCCAGGGAGTCTCTTGCAATTGATCAGAAATGATGTTAGGGATGAAACCTGTTTGCCATCCCTGCCTTAGGGGTAAATGGAATGAAATTTGACCCAAGTTAGAAGCAGAAGATCTGCAGTAGTTGGGAATCAAGCCTGTACAAAGTTAGTCCAGTGATCAGGGCCTCTCTGGATGGGGAATATTGTACCATGTACAAAATTGCCCCGCTGAGGCAATGAAATCTAGACTGTGGCTTCCCGGCCAAGCTCTGGGAAGGCCGTGTCTGCCTGGGCTTGAGGGTGGCTACTTCTCCTGGTCACAGGGTGCGGAATGGGCTAGCAGTGCCCATCAGCAATCAGTTACTTCACCTTGTGTGCCCGGCATATGCCACCAGGGCTTGCCCAACTCTTACAGTGGTTGTAGTGTGGCCCACCAGGTCTCCAACTCTCCTGCGATGCAGGAACTTAAACTCCTTTATAAAAAACCCTCCTAAGATGAAGTCTTACTGTCGAATGGTTCCATCAAAAGGGCTAGTGCTGCATGCTTAAAAGCAGTCCTATGACTTTTAAGTAGAAATTTTTTGATCTGTAACTGCATTTCAAAAGCTGAGCTTCCCTTCAAAACATGGCTTAAAAAACGCATCTCCACAAAATGAATGTTATCTTTCACTAAATATTTAAATGTTAAAAATCCCCAGCCATTTCTTGGACCCATCGATTTCATGTCCTCTGATCCCAGCAGCAATGTGGTTGACTACAGGAGGATTTAATGCACTGTGTCCCCAAATGCTAACATTCTTGAAAGCAGATGTCTACTATAAATCAGCCCTCTTGGAAAATAACATTTCTGGAGTTGTTCACAAGAGTATTTTTTTCCCCAAAGACTCTATTTCCAAATGAAATGGTATTTTTTTTAATAGCTTAGAGTGTGAATGATGTCAAAATCATGTGTTTAGGCCCAAACAGTTTTTAATTTTTTAATTGTTTATAATTTTACTTTTATGGTGTAAAGTAATGATGAATGGCAAAGGACCAGTGCCCATCAGCCAGGAATGCTTATTTTGGAAGTATAAATCAGGGAAGCAAAACATAGGGAAAGAACTCAGTCCAGCACTGATCCTGCCTCTAGGAGCTGGTTTTCAGGCAGTGATGGCTTTATTGTTGCATATAGCTAGGCTCGCTCTCTCTTTCACTTCATTTTCCAAGAATTTGGAAGATCATCATGCCCTTGGAAGCAGCACATGTGAATGGCCCTTTTGAGCTAGTCTTAGTGTTTGCATTCTGGACGGCATCTTGAAGCTTGAAGGCCAAGTTGTCCTGTGTGTATTTGCAGCTCAGGCTTTGGAGAAGACATAGCTAGCAAGCCTGCCAGCTGATAGAATTTCAGACCCAAACCCTCATTCCACAAGGGTGGAGTGTACTAAGACTGCAGGCATTTCTGATTCTAGATTTATTTAGTTACAATTCTATTTTTATGAGAAAAAAATTCCCATAGATTTTTCACACACGCACACAAGCACCTGGACATATGTATATGCATGAATACATTCCATTATTTTAAAACGGTTCATTATCATTGTCACTATGTTTTTCTAAATGTTGAGACCTGAAAAAAAATTGAATGAAGAAGTATTCGATTTGTATTTTTAAAAACCACATATATTTGGGCAGGGGGTGGTGGTATATAGTGTTTTCCAGGTGGAGGAATCTCAGTAGATGCTGTAGAGCAGCCGTCCCCAGCCTTCTTGGCACCAGGAACCAGTTTCATGGAAGACAGTTTTTCCACGGACTGGAGGGTGGGGGTAGGATTGTTTCCGGATGATTCAAGCGCATTACCTTTATTGTGCAGTCAAACCTCTCTGCTAATGATAATCTGTATTTGCAGCCTCTCCCCAGCACTAGCATCACCGCCTCAGCTCCACCTCAGATCATCAGGCATTGGATTCTCAGAAGGAGCCGCAACCTAGATCCTTTGAATGTGCAGTTTACAGTAGGGTTTGCGCTCCTATGAGACTGTAACGCTGCCACTGATCTGACAGGAGGTGCAGCTTATGTGGTGATGCGAGTGATGGGGAGGCTGTAAATACAGGTGAAGCTTCGCTTACTCCCCCTCAACCCCTGCTGCTCACCTTCTGCCACGTGGCCTGGTCCCTACCAGGCCACGGACCAGCACCAGTCTGCAGCCTGGGGTTTGGGACCACAGCTTTAGAGCATTGCTGTGGAGGAATAGCATCTCTCCAGAGGAATCTCTTACGGATTTCTAAGTCTTGTTAGTGCAATATCTCTTTCAAAGAACCTTTGACTTTTTTTTGTAAGTAATGGATACTTGGGGTTTATTAGCCAGAATGAAAAGCCTTATATATTTCCTTTTGGTTGCAAATTTAAGATCAGTAAAGTGATCGTTGCTCATTTAAAATGTGATAATGCCATGGTCGGGACTGGTCAAACCTTTTAGGACCTCTCCTAGAGGGAAAACCAAGGATTGTCTGTTTCTCTCTTCAAAAATTAAATTAATTCCTCCCTGTAGTTAAAGTCAGAGTTTTAGGGGAAGGGTAAATTTCCATTTCTGTATTAAGTCTTTGTAAGTCTATTTCCAACTAACAGGGCTTTGCACTCTCTGCAGAGGGAGTGAAGTGCATTTGCAATCAGCTTTCACTCACCACTAAGATGGATGCAGAGCATCCTGAACTCAGGAATTATGCTCAGAGTCAAGGCTGGTGGACGGGAGAGGACGAATTCAATTTTTCTGAAGTTTTTTCTCCAGCTGATGATCATCTGGACTGCTGTGCAGGCAAAGACAGCTTAGAAAAACAAGAAGGTGAGTTAATCAATCCCTATGAGTCTCCTTCTCAAACCCTTTGTCTTGCAAATATTTCAGAGAACTGGTCTGCACTTAGGAGGGTGAACAAAGGAGGAGGCGGAGTGAATAGACCTTGTATGTAGAGACCAGCTTGTGCTAAAAGTCCTGGATGTGCAGGCCAGAAGACAACTCATTTTTACATGGTGCTTCCCATCCATGGAGCCCTCCTGCTCTCACCGATGTTATTCTCCTGTAAACATAGGATGTCATTGGCTTGTCTTTTGTGATACTTATTACTGCCTTCCTTAAACCTCAGTATTTATATTTTTGGTTTATCTTCTCCGTATATTTTCCTCTTACCTGCCCCACTAGCCTGCTGGGCCTTGGAAGGCAGAAGTGTTGTCTTCTACTCATCTTAGGATCCCCTTGTGATGCCTGTATAGTGGTTTGTTCATGAACATTTGTTGAGTTGAATTGTTGAATTGAATTCTCTTCATGAGCCCCCTACTTGTCACCCAGTTACTGACCTAATCAGAATCCATATTTAGGTAAAGGTGGTGACTGGATAGCTTGTTACTTTTGTGCCTATGTGGAAACCCTTCCAAAAACCCCACAATGTTCATGTTTTATATTTGCTAGTGATATATATATTTTGTAAATCAAACTGTTGATCCTTTAGACTAGGGGTCAGCAAACTATGAAATGTTGGCAGCTGCCGTTTTGTAAATCAATTTTATTGGAATACAGCCACTCTGATTTTTAAATGTGTTGCCTAGGGCTGCTTTTGTACTATAATGGCAGAGTTGAGCAGTTGCAACGGGGAAGTTTTGATGGAGACTGTGTGGCCCATGATTTATTCTCTGGTTCTTTAAGAAAAAGTTTCCTAACTCTTAATCTAGAACACTTTAGGACTTTTGCTGCAGTACTTAAGTAATCTATTTTAAGTAGAAAGGTAATAAAGTGCTTATTTTTAAAATGTGAACTTAAAAAAAAACTCTGAAAGTTTTTAATTTAAAAAAACTAGCATGATGAAAGTTATTTAATATTCATGCCAAAACATCAGCCCTAAATCTGTTGCAACCTTTGGATCTAGCTACTAATTTCCAGGAAATACAGAGGATGGAGGAACATATTAAGTAACACTATAGGGATGCCATCTGCAAAGCCCAGATTGTGGGAATCTCTACAGGAAAAATGACTAAATTTCTCTTACAAACAGGATGCAAGGGCAAAAACAAGAGGCAGAGATTAAAAGAGTTTTAAGAGACGTTACCAACCTACTGGATTCTGATTTAAATCAATAAGCTCATTTATGAGACAATGAGGAAATTTGAACACTGGATAGTTGAAGCAATCAAGGATTTATTGTTAATATTTTTAGGTATGACAGGTTCTAAGTAGAGCTTTACAAAGAGGATATGAGTTGTGCTAGCAGACCTTCTCCCTGTGTAATACTGTGATTTCATCTTTGTGAACACAGACTGAAATACTGTTTTAACGAATTATAATCAGAGTGGAAAATGTAGAAATGAGATCCGCTATAATCAAGGATTTGTTTATCCATTTACCTGTGGTCAGAACCAATAGTCCTAATGGTTCTGAACATTCTAAATGCCTCTCTGCATGTATTTTTCCCACTGCAGAGGGGCCATTCTCCAAATATACTATTGACCCTGATAGGGGAGGGCGCTTGGTGGACTGCGCATGAACTATACATACTTTCTCATGGCTTTCTATTGAGTTAATGCATTGGTTGAGGTATAGCTCAAACAAAGAGACCCCAAATTAATGTGGCTTAAAGAAAATGGAGGATTATTTCTCTCCCACGTTATAGTCCAGTATTTATGCACAGTCCAGGCCTGGTTACTCTGCCTCAACACAGGACTTCTATTTCTGATCTGCTTGTTGGCATCTTCCAGCCAGCAGGAAGGGAGAAAAGGAAAGTAAAGGGCAAGCATTCCTTTTTAAAAGTTGTACACATCGTTTCTGCTCACCTCCCATTGGTCAACGTTTATCACATGGCCACACCTCGTCACAAAGGAAGCTGGGAGATACATTCTATAGTGGGGTGGTTACATTCCCAACTATAATTTCAGGGGTTTTGTTCCTAAAAAGAGCAAGGAGTGAATGGATTTTGGTTAGTAGCCTGTCACAATAATATTTCCTTTTTCCATCTCTCTTCCTTCCGTTTTTTTACAGAAAGCATCACTGTGCAGACTATGATTAACATCTTACGGGACAAAGCCAGTGGAGTCTGTATAGACTCTGAATCTTTCCTCACCACGGCCAGTATAGTGTCTGTCCTGCCTCAGAATAGAAGCTCGCCATGCATTCACTACTTCACTGGGACCCCAGATCCTTCCAGGTTTGTCTGAGACACAGTCATGCCGGCAGGAAGCCTGTGCTTCCCTTGAAAGCTCATTCAGCAAGGCGTGTGTTAGGTTCTGGACCATGTCCTCTGCTTGGAGAGCAAAGTCACATTTTTCCATCGGCCTCAATGTGGGCAGTGTAGCACAACAGCTTTGATTAAGTGAAGTCCTTGGCTTTAGTCACATAGTATATTACAATCATGGGATCAAATTGTTGCTTTAAATTCATCAACTATTTACTGAGTAAATGTCATGGGCCAAACATTTTGCTGTAGATGAGGGATACAAAGATGAGCAAAATGCAGCCAGCCAGACAAATACAGGAATGCCCAAGGTTTATCAAACAACTGGTTCCTAGGAGTTAAAGGATGAAATGGTCCAGAGGCAATACAGATGGAAGCAACTTCGATGTACTGGACATTGTGTTTTAGGGATTTGCTTTCTGCTGTGAACTGCAGCCCAGAGGCAGTGTTGCACAGTGATGAACACAGCCTCTGGAATGAACTGCCAGGATTTTGAATCCTGCCTCTGTCACTAAGGAGCAGGATAAGTTATTAATACTTAACCTCTCTAAGCTTCAGTTTCAGTATCTGTGCGGTGGGGATAATGCTACTCCCTACCTTTATATGGTTTGGGGAGGATTAAGTGAGATAATCCAAGTAGGTTTAACTATTATTTATGAAGACTGTCTCTGATCTAGCAGGCAGACAGCTGCCCCTCTCCTCAGTAACGTTCAGTCATGCACACCACAAATCACATCATCAGTAGCTTAGATCCAACCTTCCGGTGGTTTCTAAATCTAGTCACTGTTAGAATTGCTTTGGGGGAGTTTTTGAAAAATACAGATGCCTTTACCTAACCCTCTTGTATCAGGATCTTTCAGGTGGACCTAGGAATCTGTCGGGTAAGTCCGATCCTCAGCCTGGAAAGCTCTAGAAGACTACTCATTCCAGTGGGTTCTCTGGTGTTTTTCAGGTGTTGTTTGAATGTCAGCTATGAAACCTTTGAATCTGCCGCCAGGGAATCTGCTGCTGTTAAATTTCATTCTTTTTGCAGCTGGAAATAATCTGTTCTCCTCTCACTGTTTCAGGAATATAAGACAATGATTGTGTCTAGCTAGGGATGGTTCTCAGATGACTTGGGGGGAAAAGCCATGCACCTCTTATGACCCTTTGGCCTCATTTCTTAAACTACTGCCGATATCAATAGATCCTTCTAACAAGACCTGACTGTCGAACTCCGTGTAAGCTATTCTTAGGTTTTCATCCACTCATTCCTTCAACAAACACTTATTAAGCACCTACTGTGTACCAAATATTGTGTTTGTTGGGTACCAGGGATGAGGTATGTACAAGGAAAAAGGTGGCACACGTGCGATGATGGAGGGGAAAACGTCACAGAGGAAAGAGCTCCTGTGCACTGGGCTTTGTAGGAAGAGTGGGAGTTAACTAGGTACAAAAGCAGGGATAACACTCAGGGTAGAGAAAGTCACATGTACAAAGGCAGAGAGGCATGAAACAGCATGACCCAGGGCGACATCTGTGCGTCCTCTCGTAGGTGACACTGGGGATTAGGTTTCCATCTCTCCCTACCCCCAGCCCTCCACTACACAAGCCCAGCCACCCTCCTGTGGTACCTCTGCCGGCCGTTAGCAGTGAGCCTCACCACTCAGAGTGTCCCCAGGAACCTCAGGATGCTCCTGTTTCATTCCAGCTGCTTCCTCTTGATTTTATCTCCCAGTTCTGAAGGTTTGGTTCCACGGCCTCACCTTCCTCTTTTGGTCCACCAGATTTGGGACTCCTTCCTCTCCCAGGTGTCAGGCCCCCTCCTCATGGACTGTGACATAGCTTGCTCCCTTGATGCTGATGGCTCAGCTGCCCCAGGAGGACTCTGCTGGCCTGCAGGGGGACATGTGGGCATTCAGAGTTCTATTTTGGAGGGTCTGGAATGCTCTGCTAAGGTACGTGGACATTGTTCTTCAGGAAACAGGAGCCTTTCAAGGAGTGGGTTGAACTGAACCAACTCCTGTTGTCCCTGATGTCTCAAATACTGGCTCTAACTGTGCTTTGGAGACAGGGCTTTGTGAGGCCAGGACACTGATGGAAAGGGGTTCCATCTCCTAGGCTGCAGTACACAGCCTAATCCAGTTATAGAAACGGGCTGGGAAATAGCCTTCTGATATTTAAAATGGAAAATTTCAAGTAATCCTAAAAGAAAATTATTCATGGTTAAATTAATTGAAAAGACCTTGTAGAAGATGAAGACCCTTCTAAAAACATTCATTTTTATCCTCTATGGTTAAATGAACTGCATTTCCTACTGTGTAGAACTGTCATAGGTTATTTTTTTATTCTATTCAACATTTCAATGTTTCTGTGTAATTAGGCATGTTCAGCATATTGTATTTTGTCAGCAGGAAGCATAATTACCTTCTCTTAGGTTTTTAGGTAGTAAAATTCGGGAGATTTTTGCTAATGCTAAAAATATTAGAGAGATGTTTTCAGAAGATTGTTTCATAGCAGTGGACTTGGAAAAGATTATGATCACAGAGCAGAACTGCAGTGTTTATCCCTCCCAGTTAATGTTAGACCCAAAGGACATGATGTTACTATTGTTCTGTCTGCCTAGGCACTTCTCTGTCCTTTGCTCACTGTATTATAGATCTTTTCCTTGAAATAACTGGCTCTCACGTCTTTTTTTTTTTCCTTTTTTCTTTTCCTTTCTTTTCTTTTCTTTTTCTTTTTGTTTGCTTTTTTTTTTGAGACAGGGTCTCACCCTGTCACCCAGGCTACAGTGCAGTGGCATGATCATAGCTCACTGCAACCTGAAACTCCTGGGCTCAAGTGATTCTCCTGCCTCAGCCTCCTGAGTAGCTGAGACTACAGGTGCACACCACCATGCCCAGTTAATTTTTCTATTTTTTGTAGAGATAGGTCTCACTCTTGCTTAGGCTGGTCTCGAACTCCTGACCTTGAGTGATCCTCCCGCCTCAGCCTCCCAGAGCAGTAGGATTGCAGGTGTGAGCCACCACACCCAGTCTCACATCTTACTTTTCTCTTCCTTCTTTCCTCCCTCCCTCCTACTGTGTACCAGGTATGATGTAAGTTTCGGAGTTGGAAGGAAATGCAAAAGTCAGGGTTTGACTGATGGAGGGAGATGCAAAAGTCCTTCAATTATTTTTATTGAGAAGGCAAATTCCATCATGTTAATACTCCATGGAGTCAGCTGGTACCACAGTCATTCATATAGTGACACTAATTGGCTTTAGTGTACTGATTCTGACCTTTGGAAACCATTTTCTAGAAAGCCAGTGCTTGTTAAAGCTTCATTGATGTGAAAATTGGAGAGGGAAAGACTGGAGAGGTACCTGGGCACCATGAGTTAGGTGGATTCAGGCTCACAGTGTGCCAGAGCCAGGGAGAGCTGGTTGTGTGCATCTCTTCCCAGCTCCGTGTTCGGTGATGCTGGCAGCTTGAAATGGGCCACAGTGGGGTGTTTACACCACAGAAATTGGCAAACACTGTAAATCTGGGCATATTTTTTCAGAGGTATAGTTGTTAGACCAGTACACCACTGAGAGGCCCCCACATCTAGGAAAATACACAAATACTCAAGATACAGGATGGGCAAACCAAAAGAGAGAGAGAAGATAAAGGACATTCTAGGAAAATATGGTATTTGATCTACTTTAACTAGTAAAAAGCAGGTTGCAGGGGAAATTCAAGGGACATGGTCTCTCTCTCTCTCTTTTTCTCTCTCTGTGAGTTTTCTTTGTTTCCTCCTCTTTCTTGTCTCCTCCTCCTCCCGTGTACTAACCTTGAGAGGCTAAATTGGATTGGCCAAGACTGTATCATCTGAATAATTCAAGTGTTAGCAACAGGTGGCACCTTTTTGTTACTGGAGAAAACATTATGAGCCTTGGACACTTATGCATAAGTGGCTCCAACTTATGCAGCCTTTGGGGCCACACAGGACACAGCCTGCACAGATACACACAGAGCCGAGGGCAAAATGGCATTCCCCCCTCCAGTTTCACTCTGACTTCTTCAGCACCCTTCCTCTCTTCTCTCTGCCCTACACTTTTGACTTTTCAAAACCTCCCACAGCATCTGGACCCAGCTGCTGTCCCTACGGTTGTCCCATGCTCCAAAAGTACTGGCTTTCTTTGCCTTTAAAATTGAAACTGCCTTCGCAGATTGGTTCTGTTCTCGTCTGGGTATGACTTTGACAATCTGATTAAAGTGCCTCACGGTGAAGCTGGAATGACGCATAGATGAGCCACGCTGAGGGGCACCTGCATTTTTGAAGAGAAACTGGTTATTACACGTTCTTTTCAGATTGGCTCAAGGTTTAGCAGATTCCTCAGAGCAGTAGCCTTTGAGCTGTTCCTTTCGTACCTAACTCCCCTCAGTAGACTTGCCAGGAACTCCAGGGCACAGGATCAGCTGGTTTAGTCGCTTGGGGAGTTGCTGCATCTTCAGTAAGAACAAAGCCATGTTCGAGGACAGGACTGTTGGCTGGCCACTGGCACTAAAATTCCAAATCCGAAAGCACAAAAAGTATTGTATTTTTCTGCAGTAGCACAATATGTATGAAAAGAAACCACAGAAGGTTATAAAGGTGAGCAGTAGTGGGGAAAACTGACCTTGCATTTAGAAGATCTGAATTTGGTTCTAGATCTGCTACTTATTAGGAATGTGACTTTGGACAAAGCACTTAGCTTCTCTGTGAGCCTCAGTCATCTCATATGTGAAATGAGCCAGAAGTTTTTGCCCTTCTTTGTTCACTGCTGTATCCCTAATACGTAGAACAGTAGCTGGCACTCAGTCAGGACTCGGCACATATGTACGGAATGAATGAATGAGAGTACCATGAGAATTGAATGCAAACACTCTGAAACTTATGCTATGCTATAAAATGTTAGAGTTTTTCATGATAATGTTGCTGTTCTTCCAAAATGAGAAAACAAATGATTGGAAACAGATTTTTTGCACTG